TGGGTCAGAGAGTGGATTTCCTCGTAGACGTATTTAACACGTTTCATTTTCCTTGCCGAGACGTTTTTGCAAAGACTTTTCATTCAGGTCATTTGACCCTCTCTTTTTTTTCTTTTTTTTTTTTCTTTGTTTTTTTTTTCTTTTTACAATTTAACATTTATCAAATATTCTAGGATTGTATCCTCGGTATCCTCGATGGTACACGCGGCATAAATAGAAAGTTTAACGTTTATCATCGATGGTACACATGGCGCGAGACGTGTTAATCAAAATTGTTGAAATATTTTATAATATCATCTTTATATGGACATTTATTTTTCTTTAAAGGAGAACCACGTGTGTTTCTATTTTTAAATAATCTTTAAATAAGTATATAAGTATACATTAATAATGTATATAAGTATATATTAATAATTTTTAAATAATCTTATATATATATATATACACATACACACAAGCATACACACATATATGCATGTATGTACAGTAGTAACCAACTAGACCAATACAGTTTTATATTATCGTCATATATATATATTTTTTTTATTTGTTTTATTTTTTTTATTTTTTTTATTTTTTTGGTAAAGACAACACGATGTTTTTCTCGTTAGTGAAAGAGATACGTTTCAAATATTATTTAATGAAAAATTATGTATCACAGATATTGGTTCGATGTGGTTGCGTAAATAAAAATCACTGTAGATAGATATCGATCGGTCGATTCGAGCTTTTTTCCCCATTTGAAATAATTCAGAACGTTGATGGCTATTTCGAAACGTTTCCGCGAACAAAAACGTTGTGCATTTAATTGAAAGCAAAAAAAAAAAGAAAAAAGAGAGAGAAGTCAACGTTATACGTGAGGTAAGGTACGAGAAACAAAAAAAAAAAAAAATAAGAAAAAGAAGAAAAGAGAAAAGCAAAAAGGAAAAGAAAAAGAAAAAAAGTAAAAATGAAAAATCAACGAAAAGAAAAAGGAAATGGACGAGAACGAAAAAGAATGGAAAAGACTGGAAAAAATTTCGTGCTACCTTTCATTAATTGTCCAGCGATTTACCATTTCTTTTCATTCTTCCTTTTTTCTCTTTAATTTTCTTCCCCCGCCCCCTCTCTCCGCCACCTTTTTTTTCTTTTGCTTTTCTTTCTCTTTCTAACGAAAGGAAGAAAGAAAAAAATAAATAAATAATCTAAAAAAAAAAAAGAAAAAAAAAAAAAAAAAAAAAAAAAAAACAATTCCCTCCTTTTCCCTTTTTCCTTTTTTTTTTCTTTTTCTTTTTTTTTTTCTTTTCTTTTCTTTTCTTTTCAATATTTTATCTCAAATTTATTCTCTCTTATTCTCTTTTAATGAGTTACATACATGCATATAGAAGAAAGATGCACTTTGTTTTAAGAGAGGAAAATTCTATGGTTTTAAGGGAGTTAATTTAGCCTAGCAGAATCATTCAGTTCCTGTTTACAAGCTTTTCGAAAAATCGAAGAGAACGTTGCTTAGTCTCTATCTAATCCTTCCGATCTCGAAACCGTAATTCAATTAATTTCATCGGATTGCTATGGCGGCTTTCTGTTGTCCCTAGCCAGGAAACGCATCTCTCGTTACATTATTCACAGGAAGAGAAAGAGAGAGAGAGGGAGAGTGAGAGGGAGAGTGAGAGAGAGAGAGGAGTATACCGGAACACTGTACCTACTCGGTACAGCGCGAGCTTCGAATTCCATGGACGATCGAATCTAGCCAAGGTAATCTGCCAGATGGACGATTTCTGCAGGATTGCACGCGACCTCTGACTCGAAATAATCTAACGGTACTACTTCGACCGAATTAAGAACATTCTGTGAAATAGAATACTACGATTTTCACGGGGAAACGTAAATTCTTTTCGTTGATTAATTTGGGAATAGAAAGAAGTAAGAGATAGAGAGAGAGAGAGAGAGAGAGAGAGAGAGAGAGAGAGAGAGAGAGAGAGAGAAAGAGAGAGAGAGAGCGAGAGAGAAATAGATAAAAATGTAAATAAAAAAACAAAATTAATTGTATTTAATGTAAGAATAATAATGTAGATTAAAATACGACGAACTTATTAGATTAATTGAAACGAATTTTATATAATATATCATTTTAATTTGATAGAAACATATAGAAACGATTATACGTAAAATATTTACATGTTTATGTAAATATTTATTTCCGATTAATTTTTCGACGATATTTACTATCATGACATAAGAAATAAATAATATAAATAGAAATAAATTTAATATGTAATAAATTATAAACGATGAATATAGACGATTGATTAATCTATAAAATAAAATATATTGTAGATATATTATGTATTTTTATTGATATTTTTAGAGACATTTTTAAAATGTCTTTAATTTAATTTGATAGATTAAGAGAAGAAAAGAAAAGGAAAAAAGAGAAACACAAGAACAAGAAACATAAAAAGAAATTGATAAGATAAATTTAATTAATCTTATCAATTTTAGATTTGTCGAATTATTATGATAC